ATATATATTCTTTTTTTACAGCTGTGGCTCATATTGTGATGTTACTGCATAAAGGTTCAGTCTCTCTGTCAAAAAAAAAGAACTGTAATACACGCTCAATAATTACATTTTAAAAGGAAAGAGACATTGTTCTTTAGCATTGTGTCCCACGCAATGCAGTGGCAGGGCTAGTATCTCTCCATACGTTCACTGCACCGTACTAATATAATTAATGTGCTAAAAATTGTCTTATGCAATGACAGATGTAAAGAATGGCCACACTATAATATAAATATCAAAAGGAGGATTGTAGAAAATATTTCCTGTAACACAACAACCTAATAATATATAAGAATCGGATGGCCCTCATTTATGAACAGTTTGTGCGCAAGACATGCGTCCGAACGTAAGATGTATTTTCGTACTTTAATTTGTGCGTATTCCGCGAACAACTTTCGAACCTCCTCAAACTATGCGTACGCACAAATAATGAAGGATAATTTTTTTGAAAAATATTTGGAAAAAAAAATATATATTTTACCTAAGATGTATGACGTATTGAAACTACAGTCATTTATATGAACACCACTACTATTTACTATTTAAAACGCCTTTTGTTACTTTAATCCCCTACTATCTGTTGCATGTCCTGAAAGGTTTAAAAAGTTATATCTTTCTTTCTTTCTTTCTTTCATTTTTTTTGGGGGTGGGCAAGGCTCCATGCTTGGGACTTTGTCACAAGAAGGTGACACAAATACTGATTTGTTCATGCTGTACAATGTCATGAATGTAGTTACTCAATTCACCATGTCCCCTTTGCATTTCCCAAGCTTTGCTGACTATGGCTGCATGCTGGAGATCCTTAGCCTGGACCTACTGCCAGATGGCCGCTCCTATGTGGACAGTGTGGGGAGCAACAGGTTCAGAGTTTTGAAAAGAGGCCTACGAGATGGCTACCACACGGCTGATATCGAATATGTGGAGGACGTCAAGGTATGACTTGCTCAAGGAGCTCCCGTGTCCCCCCCCCCCCCGCG